TTCAGGTGTGCAATTAATTGAATTTTTTGAGTTGCCATCATATTGAGATTGTTGCAAGATTGGCTTCTCCTATAGGTACCTCGTGGGAGAAAGATGAGGCTTTTTGCTCCTGTAAAGATTTATATCCTCGGAAACCCGGTACAGGGTCGTTATGAGTTGGCACTGACTCCACAGCACATAACCACCACCACCACCATAGGTACCTTGAGTTCTTTTTATTTATTTTTCTTCCTTTTCCATCTTATCTCCTCTATTTTCCTCTTAAGAAACTGGTATCCCTGTCTACCTACTGAGCCCAGAAAGAAGCAAGGGGCTTCAACATTCCTTTCACAGCATTTTCCTTTCCAATTAGTTCCTCTCAATGCTATCTCTCAAATACATCTTAATAAATCTACCTGTTACTTCCCATTCCTAGGTATCCTCTCTCACTTATCTCTCTGCCTCATTTTCAGCCCATTACACTTGAGCTTCCAGATTAAGGCATCTAAAGCACAAGACAGATTGCCATTTTACTCTTGAAAACCATGGACAATTCTGAGTTGCCTTCAGGATAAAGTATTAAATCCTTGGTTTGCTTGCTACCCTCACTCTCATGCTTTAGTTGAACTCCAAGCAAATAGTGACTGCACAGAATCAATTGTGGAATATATGTTTAAGAATTGCTTGCAGTAATTAGTTTCTAAACGTGAAAATAGAGCTTCATATTTAGACTAAGTCGTCATTTTCTATATTTACTAATAAACATCTTAGTTTCTAAAGATGAAAAGATTACATCAATATGTAGTTCATTATCCCCTTTTAAGGAGCTCTGGTAGTGTTGTTGTTGTTGTCAGGTGCCATCGAGTCGGAACCGACTCATAGCGACCCCATGCACAGCAGAATGAAACAATGTCCGATCATGGGCCAACCTCACTACCACTGCCACACTTGAGTCCATCAATGATACCACCTGGCCGATCCATCTCGTTAGGGGTCTTCCTCTTTTTCTCTGACCCTCCACCTTACCCAGCATGACATCCTTCTCCAGCGACTGTTTCCTCCAGACAATATGTCC